TTTAATGTTAATAAGTGAGTAAGAACCAAGAAAATCATAGATAACTTCCAACTATTTAATGGATATTAAGCTTTGATTTTAACTTTAGGTAGCATTATAAGTGATATTAATAAAATTTTAAAAAGTAGTAAAAATGAAGTTACCGATCAAAGCCCTATGAATGTCGCCGAGAAAATGGCGAGAAAATATCATTTTCTCGGCGACATTCATAGGGCTTTGATCGGTAACTTCATTTTTACTACTTTTTAAAATTTTAATAATATCACTTATAATGCTACCTAAAGTTAAAATCAAAGCTTAATATCCATTAAATAGTTGGAAGTTATCTATGATTTTCTTGGTTCTTACTCACTTATTAACATTAAATAACATTGAATTTACTTTAGACCACATGGTCAATTGCTGTGCTAATTTTTTACAAGTTCATATATGTTGTTAGTTGCTTAACTGTTTATACAAGATCAGCGTATTATGTCCATTTACTTAGTTTTATTCACATGTTTGTTAATAACATTGACTGCTACATATCTTTTTAAGATGAACTGATGATGCTTTCAAAACTCGAAAGCGAAACGTCTTCAAAATAGATAAAGTAGCCTATCAACTTTGTCTTTTATTTCTCCACCTAGAGACCGATATAAGAACCCACCACTCGTCTGAGTGATCCTTATATATATATATATATATATATATATATATATATATATATATATTGGATTGACGGTCGTACTCCTTTTCCGATGCTTTCTATATATATATATATATATATATATATATATATATATATATATATATATATATATATATATATATATATATATATATATATATATATATATATATTCTATATATATATATATATATATATATATATATATATATATTCTATATATGTTTATATATATATATATATTATATATATATATATATATATATATATATATATATATATATATATATATATATATATATATATATATATATATATGACTTACCAAAACGAAAAACGTGACACAGACATGTCGTAGGCAAGTATGAAATGCAGGCATTCTTGCAAAAGCCCAGTCATTTTCGTAGTTCATTTTTACAAAATGGCTTCACCCTTTAGATATTTGCGAAAATACCGGAAACTCAATTCTATTTTGAAGCAGTGTTGCAATTTAGGCACAGATCATAAAATAAATAATAAATGATAAAAAAATTGTCCTAACCGAATTTTCTAACGTTAGTTTTCCAATTTCCAAGATTACAGATTACAGCAGCGGTTACACAAGTTTACATTTACAGTGTAAGTGTACTATTACGTCACATTACAGATATTAGACATGGCTAATTAGGAAAAATTCCATGAAGATATACATAAATTTTACTCTAGTAAGTGGACATAACTTCTAAATTTCTCGAGAATATAATAAAACTCATTATAGGAAAATAGGTAGTAATGCTTGATTAAAATTTTTTTATTTGTTTCAGAAATAAATAGCTTTAAAACGCCGTAAAATTGATGTAATTCTTTATAGAATTTTTCCCGATTAGCTGTAAATGTAAACTTTTGTAAACGCTGCTGTAATATGTAATCATGGAAATTGGAAGACTAGGGTTAGAAAATTGGGTTAGTACAAATAATTTTTTATATTATATAATCTGTGCCTAAATTGCAACACTTTTAAAATAAAATTACCATTTCCGGTAGTTTTGCAAATGCCTAAAGGGTGAAGCCATTTCGTAAAAATGAAAACGGTATACTTACGAAAATAACTAGGCTTTTTCAAGAATGCATATATATATATATATATATATATATATATATATATATATATATATATATACAAGAAATACTGGATATTAGTGACTGTCGATATAAACAAACAACACAGTTTATTGGGGTTGCAGTCAGAATATTGGCCGAGATGTTCACAAAAACACTCTTTTGACTTTTTGTCTAGCTTTCGGAATGGTTTTATTCCTTTTTCAACTTTTTCAAGACACTGTAAGGAGACAAATATGTAAATATTTAAAAATATCACAATTCTTCAGTATAACTCACTAGTCGTTGAGAATATTTACAAAAGCATTGACACTCGACATTTATAAAACACATTAAAATATAAAATCATGGACAAATTACATTCTAAAATTTGGGGTAAATGTAGTAAACCTTAGTTTATGGCATGTTTTACTGGCTTGTTTTAACTCATATGCATAGAGAATGGAGGGTAAAAACACTGTAATTAACATGAAATTAGGTGTACTTGATGTTATCTTTCTTTTCAAAAAATACTAGAGGCCCATCTTAAATGATTATACTTTTTTAAACCTGTCTTAATGGTATGCAACATATTATACATACAGGTGTAATTTATGTACAGGTAAATATTAATTTTATTTTTGGTGTTTTTCTAGTAAATAACAATAAATGTTGCTTAGTTTATCTATGTCAGACTTTTTATTGATGCAAGATATGCTAGATTTTATGAAACACATTTGAAAAAAAAAAACACATTTTGAATGGTTTCTTTCTTTTACCAAAATACAGGAATCATCGAAATTGAATTCATGTTTTAGAGTTAATGCATGTTCTGTCAATGCGCATGCATTGATTTTATTGGTTTTTATATCACTACAATGTGATATCACCCTGCTGTGAAAATTACGAGATGATTCTCCTATGTAAATTTTATTACAATTAGTACACGGTATAGAATAAACAACATTCGATGACTCCTGTATTGTGAAAGGATCTTTTGTTTTTGTGTAAAGCTTCGATACCGTTTTCAAATATTTGGTTGTAATTTTTAAGCCATTAAAATTTTTGAAGATGTTCATTAGCTTAGGTGTCAGAACTGGAATGTAGAGTAGGCAACCATAAGTTATTTTAGATAGTAATGTTGATGCGTTATGTGTCAATGTCAATTGTCGGATTTCATTGTTACTGGAACAACATCTCTCCGCAGACTCAGATCAGTTTAGATGACTTCATAAGAATGTTAATATTTATATTTGACTCCATCTTTTTGTTCAATGGTAATTTTTTTAAACAAATTTTTGGCACTCCAATGGGCAGCAAAATATCCTCCATAATATGTAACTTTGTTTTGGATGTACTTATAACAACGTGTAAAAAAAAGATACCTCTTCACATACCTTTTATTAAACGTTACGTAAATGATTTGATTTTATCGGTCCCTGAAAACAAGGTAACTGATGTTTTAAACACTTTTAACGCCCAATGTGAACACCTAAATTTTATGGTTGAGAGAGATGCTGCTAATATGACTCCTTTTTTGGACATGCTAATCCATTGTGGCAATGATGGCATGCTAAGGACGGAATGGTATCATAAACCTTGTTTTAGTAACCGTTTCATAAACTTTTATTCTCAACATCCACCTAAGATGAAAACAAATTTGGTTTTGGCTCTAAAAACTAGGGTAATCAACTTGTCATACATCGAATTCAGGGTCAAGGGACAAAAAAACTTAAGATCTATACTACAAGAGAATTCTTATCCCATAGGGCTTTTAAATAAATTCATTTTCGGTTCTCCTTTTCCTTGGCCAGTTTCTGTCAACCAAAATTTTCATAACACTGAGATCCGACAATTGACATTAACACATAACGCATCAATATTACCATCTAAAATAACTTATGGTTGCCTACCCTACATTCCTGTTTTGACACCTAAGCTAATGAACATCTTCAAAAATATTAATGGCTTAAAAATTACAACCAAAAATGTAAAAACGGTGTCGAAGCTTTACACAAAAACAAAAGATCCTTTCACAATACAGGAGTCATCGAATGTTGTTTATTCTATACCGTGTACTAATTGTAATAAAATTTACATAGGAAAATCATCTCGTAATTTTCACAGCAGGGTGATATCACATCGTAGTGATATAAAAACCAAAAAAATCAATGCACGAGCATTGACAGAACATGCATTAAGTCTGAAACATGAATTAAATTTTAATGATTCCTGTATTTTGGCAAAAGAAAAGAACCATTCAAAACGTGTTTTTCTGGAAATGTGTTTCATAAAATCTGGCACATCTTGCATCAATAAAAAGTCTGACATAGATAAACTAAGCAACATTTATTGTTATTTACTAGAAAAACACCAAAAATAAAATAAGTCTTTACCTTGTTACGTTCCAAATTTAAAGTAGAAAGTTCCACCTCTATTTTATCAAAATTTAAATAATTCAAGACGTGTAAGAGCAGTTGCCTATAATATATTATAAGCAAGGTGGCGAAAATAAAATTAGTAATTTTCAAATAGGGGTAATGCCTGGCAAATTGTGCTGAAGTTAAGGGAAAACGTCCTCTTTTTTGTGAAGAAACTAATTTAGATCGTTCTTTCTAGAGTCATCTTGAAATAATTGGGATCATAAAATTGAAATGTTTGAATCTCGGTATTACTCCGTGACCTCCGTGTGTCAAGTTGTCAAGTGTTCGGAAAGACGACGACAGGGAGTGATTCTAGGGGATTCTAGATTTGACGGTGTTACTGAAAGGTTGGGCTAGATTAAAAACGGCATTTTGTTTTTTTGCTGCTGTTCCATGTGGAATCTGGACTAGTCCGAACCGTGTGGATATTCAAGGGGATTTGCTGCCTTCGTGGAAGGTTTTTTTTTGAATATCCACAATTTCGTTAAAAAAAGCGGATCTACAGTACACGTGAATACCGGGAGTCGCATTTAGATCAAGAAATTAGCCTTAATCACTAGTCCAAATAGCCCACTACGTTTCGGTCCAATTTGGGATATTTCAAACCCCTAATCTGGCTAAGAAGGGTGAGTGTTAGAACATTTCGTTTTTAATTAATTAAAAAGTTGTATTTATTTTTTTATCCGATCTCTAAAAAGCTATTTATATTTTTATCAGTTTTCATACATTCAAGTTCTTAGACAAGTTTTTTTGTATTGCTCCATTATCGCCAAAAGGCAGATAAATAAAGTGTTAAAATCAATACATTTATTTCCAAATAATTATTTTAGACACAGATGGTAATAATTAATGTTTTCTTGCTTCAGGGTTTTGTTTGTCCTCTTTTGCTTCTTCTTCTTCATATTTTTCCGTCTGGCTGTAATTTTCAACTTTTCAACATTGTCACACAAGTCTATGTACATCGGCAATCGTATGGGATTTTGAATTGAAGACACGCTAAACTGTAACTGGAATTCCACGCGGTGAGGTATATGAACGTGAGTTAAAATTCAAGGTATGGATCGATAATTAATTTTCAACGGAAGATTTAAGCGCCGTCTAAGTTGTTTAAGTTGTTCTAAGTGGATCAGTTAAAATACTTGACACACTTTCGAACGAGTTTCATCCAGAACGGGGTGTTAGACAAGGATGTATACTATCTCCACAATTATTCAACATATATGGGGAGTATATTATGCGAAGAGCACTTGAAGGATGGAAAAATGGAAAAAGGGCATCTCAATAAATGGTCATAAACTAAACAACCTACGTTTCGCAAATGACACAGCCCTTCTTGCAAATAGTCAAGCAGAGCTGATGGAACGACGGATCGAAAACGAAAGTCAAATATTTTTTCTGCAATTACACATATCAAAGACAAAGATCATGATAGTGGATAGACTACACAACAATAGTCCACACATAACCACAATTGACCGGTTCGAGGTTGTAAGCTCATACTTATATCTAGGATATTTAATCACAAACACAGGCTTATTACAAGAAGAGATTAAACGTAGATGTGATCTAGCAAAAGTTGCCACAGCAAAAATGACCAAAATATGGAAGGACTGTTAAATTTCAAGAGCGATAAAGATGAGGTTGATCAACTGCTTAATATTCCCAATACTGACCTACGGATGTGAATCTTGGACTCTGAGACAATCGGAGAGAAGAAAGATAGACGCCACTGAAATGTCTGTTGAAGACGAATGTTACGAATTACTTGGACCGACCGTAGAACAAATAATTCAATTTTAAGAGAGCTAAAAGTTAGCCAAAGACTCTCTAGTAAAGTCTATCTCCAACAAATAAAATAATTTGGGCATGTTATAAGAGCAAACACAGAAAACATGGAAAGACTTATAATAAAAGGAAAGGTAGAAGGCTGAAGATCACGAGGAAGATCCCCAACAAGATGGATAGATCAAATTACAGGAATATGTCAAAGACCTATGCATGAATTAAAAGAAATGACCAGAGACAGAGATCTCTGGAGACGGACAATACACTACATCACGTCGACCACTACACTCCCCCTGGGGGGTCAGGATTGAAAAGAGATAAGTTTTTTACGGAATACAATAGTTTTTTTAAGATTATATGCTGTTAGTTTTTATTTTAATATTTACTAATACTTTACAGTTTTTTTAAAGATTATTTGCGGGTTATTTTATTAATTAAATATTTACACATACCTATTTTAATTTCGTAAACTGCGTCTAAGGGGGGGGGTTATATATTTGAGATTTATATCTTTTATATTATTTTCTGTGCACGCACTTGAGCTCACGTGGTGTCCTATTTGCGTTAATTTTTTTTTTTCTGGTTGATATTGAACCGCACACCCCTTAGCGTCCGGTACTTTTGATACGTCTTAACTTTTATTTTGTTTTGTTAAATAGAAATAACTTATGAATTTTTGTTAGGCAAGTAGAAGCCGCATTTTTATATTATTTTTTTATTAAGCCTATGGTAAAGTTAAATAATATTGTAATATGTATTTATTTTCAACTATCTTGGGAATCTATTTATTAAAATTAACTAAATTCTAATCTGACAATTTTATTTATTTTTTGATTTATCAGGTTGTATACTGTTACTTAGTATTTTAGTAGTAAACCTATTGGTGAGTTGGTGGTTTATTGAATAGTAACGTAGGGAAGGCTGTGGGCCAATTTACCTGGCGCCCCTGATATAACTTCGGATTTTTTTGTTTTTTGGGCCGCACGACCATCTCCAACGTTTTGTCTAGCCGCGAGCCATTACCAGACTGTCACCGTATAGTACTTTTCTTTCGGGTGTACGACTGATTTATATTTGGTACATTTTGTAATTTTTTTATATAGATTCGGTTTTGTACGCCACAACCTGTACATAAATTACACCTGTACCTATGTATAATATGTTGCATACCATTAAGATAGGTTTAAAAAAGTATATTCAGCTAAGATGGGCCTCTAGTATTTCTTGAAAAGAAAGATAACATCAAGTACACCTAATTACATGTTAATTACAGTGTTTTTACCTTCCATTCTCTATGCATATGAGTTGAAACGCGCCAGTAAAACATGCCATAAATTAAGATTTACTATCTTTAGCCTAAATTTTAAACATTTTAGAATGTATTTTGTCCATGATAATATGTTTTAACGTGTGTTATAAATGTTGAGTGTCAATGATTTTATAAATTGTTTAAAATCCTTTATAAAAGGTATATAAAAAATGCCCCAAACGGGCTATCACAAACACATTGCAAAACGATTTCGGATTGATAAATCCATCATCAGTACAAACGGTTGTACATGCTAGTAGCCACCAAAATATATGGGTCAAAACCCTTTAAATGTTTTAAATTTGTAGTTGTTTTACATTATTAATAGTTATAATTTGTGATGTTTAAGTTACCGTTGGATAGGTAACATGGCAGCGTATGACTCTGCATAAGTAAAATGGTCCTGAGACGAAGTGTCTACGAGAACCTGTTAATAACAACTGAACACCACTATTTTGGTGGCTACTAGCATGTACAACCGTTTGCACTGATGATGGATTTATCAATCCGAAAACGTTTTGCAATGTGTTTGTGATAGCCCGTTTGGGGCATTTTTTATATACCTTTTATATAAAGGATTTTAAACAATTTTTTGTGATATATGGTATACAGCCAGCTACAGAAACTTAGTTTCCTAGTGGAGCTTTTATAAATAATCTCAATGACTAGTAAGTTACATTAATGAATTGTGATATTTTTGAAATATTTACATATTTGTCTTATTACAGTGTCTTGAAGAAGGAAAGTGTTTAAATTTTTGGATTACTTGTATTGAACAAAACGTAAGATATGCATAAATTATTTTCTTTGTTATAATATACTTGAGTGACCCGCATAATTTTAAGTGAAATCCATAGACAATTGAAGCGGTTTTTCCAAATAAATGTTATGCAGTAATTAGGACAATAGAATAGATTTTAGAAAGATATGTTTTTGTTAGTTCTTAGGAATTGGTAGAAAAAGATTATTTTGTAAAATAGTTTTAGGAAATTTTATAATTGTAGGTAAAAATTTGTGTGTTATCGAAATTAAGAAATGGGAGATGTATGAAGCGTTTTGATTGGATGAGATTGAAAAAGGTGGGAGGTTTGGTTTGCGAATGAGACCTTAGTTAGTTTTGGAAGAAGAAAAGATAGGCAGTTGGTTTCCAAGGGTGCAAGGCGAACGGCCGTTGTTCTCGGGTAGTTTCCCAGAGGTAAGAAGCAGTAGCACTGAAAATTTGTGAGTTTTCGTGTAGTTAGTGTATCTGACAGAAGCTGATCCAGTTAAAGATTGTAAGTTATATTTTCTACTTATATTCCCCAACGAGAGATTCAGTTTATTGAGAGAAGAAGAAGCTATCAAAATTTGAACGATTCGTGCATTTGAAGGAGATCATTAAGGACGATAATCTTGCAATAATTTGTTGTAAGATTGCTGATGACCTAGGGAGCTGTTAAGAATAGATAGTGTAGACTACAAAGAACAAAGATTTGGACCACTCATCATCATAGAGAGATAGTTTTGTTTTTCTGCAGTTTTTCCTTCATTGATGACACAATTTTTACAATTACTTTGTAAAAGATATAAATATTTTGATTAGGAGATTTAGAATAATAATTGGGATTTTGAGTTTTTTTACTAATATTGTTTGTACCATTAATTTTGAAGGTTCACGTACGTAGAACAAAATTTTAAGAATCATTATATGAGATTTTGTTCATTGAAAATTTTTGAGTAAGAATTTTATTTCATTATTTTATTTCAATATATAATGTTAGATCCTATATGTTTTTTATTATTTCGGTATTCTTTGGACCTTACCTTTCACATGTAATAGCATAGATATTGAAGCACGAATAGAACCCTGAGATAAGAGAATTATAAAGTGTGATAGAATCATAGTCATATCATTTAAATAATTTTAATTAATTAATTAATTAATTAGCTAATTAATTGCTTGGCGCACCAAGACTTTAAATATCACAATAATATATATATATATATATATATATATATATATATATATATATATATATATATATATATTATATCGAAGAACATATACACGTATATAGAAATACATATATTCAAAGGACCAAAAACGGCGTTCGGCCAAAAGAGAAATACAGAAGAGATACAGATTTCTCTGAATAGATAGAAAAGAGAAAATAGGAATTTACATATGACTAAAAATTAGGCACAATATGTAAAATCAAGGTGTGAGAAACAGGAGAGAGAGAGCCAGAGAGAAAGAGAGGGAGAGAAAGTCACAATAATGTATATCCGGTCAACAACGATTTACATTTATATCAGGTCTTACTATTTATTTTTTAATTATCGTATGGCAATTACAACACATTTAGAACAAAATTACAAATACTAGTAATATAGGTATAGGACAAACTTTAAACAGTTACAAACAAACATTAAGTGTATTAACATAATCAATTGACTCTGAAGTTGCAAACAGGAAGTCTGCAGGGCTACCATTGTAGGATCTTGAGGGACACTCTTTAATAATGTTGTCGATCGTTTCGTTCTTCGTGCAGTCACATTGAGGAGACGGATTCTTTCCCCCTTTATGTAGCATGTATGCACATCGCCGGTAGCGGGTAGACACTCTTTACGATCCCGGTAAAGACAGGTCTGCTTCAGGGATGCGCCCCTGCCCACGCGAGCTCGGCTTTTTCTCCCAATCCTCTTCCGGGAGAGAAGCGGATCCTAATCCCTAAATCCTACCCACCAACACAGACCTACCCAAATTCTTCCCTTCC